TGGAGCTCCTGCCCTGCTGCCCGGGTGGGACACAGTGGGCACCAGTCAGGTCCCTTGCTCAGTAAGCCTGTGCTGATACTCAAGGCTTGTCTGTCTTCACAGGATGACGCTCGGCAGCTGTTTGCGCTCTCGTGCACGGCCGAGGAGCAGGGCATCATGCCGGAGGACCTGGCCAATGTGATCCGGAGGCTGTGGGCTGACAACGGGGTCCAGGCGTGTTTTAACCGTTCCCGAGAGTACCAGCTGAATGACTCTGCTGCCTAGTGAGTACCCCTGCTCCTCTCCTCCAGCTCAGCTGGGTCTGAGCCCTGCGGCTCGTGTCACTTTTATTGAGCAGCAGAAAACCCCACACCAGGGGACTGCTGTTCCCCATCACCAGGCTTGGAGACAGGTGCTGCCACTTCCTGCCTGGCACTGGGGCTGAGCTGGAGCAGAACTGGGAAGGCAGGTGTTTTGAAAGCTGTTTTCTCCTCTGGTGGGGTGCTGCATCCCTTGGGAGGGGGGCGTCAGGGCATCAATCTGACGCGGCTCTGTGCCTGCTGCCCTTCCCTGGTGATGCTCTCCCCTGACCTCCCAGAGATGACTCCCCCCGGTATGAGCACAACCGAGGGTTCTGCCCATCCTCATGGGCTGTGAAGGCAAGGAAAAGCCCCAAAGAAAGCAGTGTAGAGCCTTGTGTCTGAACTGGATGAGAAGGGTGCATAAGAAGCTTTTCTTTTTAACTGAGTTTACGTGGAAAGACTTGGCACTACACTGGTGTATTAGCCAGCAAACTAGTGTTTAGGTAGATAAATTGCCTGCATCTGGTAGGGTTTATCCCAGAAGAGATTTAATAAATAAGTTAATCCGCCTAAAGTATGAATTGCTGGAGAGGGCGACACAGTCAAGGCTGTATTCAGCTTGCACGGTGCCCTCCTGCCCCCTCTGCCCAGACCCCTCAAATAAAGCAGGGCTGGGGGAAGCTCATTGTGTGCTGGGAAAGCCCCGTCAAGGCTGGCCCTGTCAGGAATCGAGCCCCCTTGGGACTCGCTGCCGTACTGGGTGGGGCTGCTTGGTCCCCCATGTGCCAGCCCAACCGTCCCCTCCTGCTTGGCACCGGCATGTCCTTTTCTGCACTGAGGTCACTGCAGGGGAGAAGAGGTTTGCAGGAGAGCTCCTGGCAAGCTCCTGCAGGTGCTTTCCTCTGGTGCCTGTGGCTTTCGCTTCCTCCTCCCCGGCCCCTGTCCTGCTCAGCCCCATCGCTCCCCAGCCAGCGCTGGCGTTTCCCCGGCAGTGCCATGCATGCTGGCGTGAAGGCACAGAGACCCGGCTGTGCCTGGCAACTCGCACGCACAGTTCGAGCAAATATTATCTGTAAAGTGTCTGCAAATCACGTATCACCGTGAGCGCCTTTATGGAGCACTTGGCACGTTGCAGGGCCCTGTCCTGCTCAGCCCCATCGCTCCCCAGCCAGCGCTGGCGTTTCCCCGGCAGTGCCATGCATGCTGGCGTGAAGGCACAGAGACCCGGCTGTGCCTGGCAACTCGCACGCACAGTTCGAGCAAATATTATCTGTAAAGTGTCTGCAAATCACGTATCACCGTGAGCGCCTTTATGGAGCACTTGGCACGTTGCAGGGGTTAGGCAAGCATTAATTAGGAAACCTTTCTAGCTGTTGCTGCAGCCTTTCCAGCCCTGCAGAGATGCTGGTGTGGTAGCCGATGGCCCGCGCGTGCCCAACG